ATCATGAGACATAGCGAAATTATTATGAAAAGAGGGTGGGAGAGAGGGTGCCCAGTGATGGCCTTAGGTTTCTTCTGGGATCCTCCATGTCTCTGTGAGTAGAAGGGGGCTGGTTGCCTTCTCTGGGCAAAGTGGTTCCAAGAAACTAACTCTCACAGATGTGAGGAAAAATTACCCAAAATTTAGAAATTAAGGCCAAGAGTGTGCAGTGTATCCTTTCAAAGTCATTCTTAGACATTGTTCAAGCAGCCCACCGAGGGCTTTTTAATATCTAGGGGAATGTACTTTTGTCTGATGCTGCTATTGACAATTAATTAAGGGCTCAGACTGAAGCCATATGTCAACCTGTAGATCTTATCTGCTAGAGATGCAAATAATTTCTGCCCAAGAGGAATGATAACCTCAAAGGTTATGATTTCCTTATTGCTCTGTAAGACAATAACCAGTCTTATATCTAATCCAGGAATCTTAGTCTCTTATTCCTGTTTAAATTCCCATAAAATACGCAGCCCCTCAAAATTCTCTGAACCAGCTCTCCCTTCTTATTTGCTCCTTTATTGGTGAACTAAACAATCTTTGACATGTATTCATTCTATATTTTTATGAGTTGTGCTTTTTAACTTTTTGAAAATTACACTTTGATGAAAGTTATAATGGAGACATTTCTCCCCACGTTTCAAATAGTAAGCTAACACATTTGTATGTCTTATATAGTAATATACGCATTTTATAGTAGATATATAGTATGTAGCATATAAAGCACTTTCCCAGGTCTACTCACATTTTGTTTTTATTTTAATAAATTAATTTTTATTGGTGTTCAATTTACCAACATACAGAATAACACCCAGTGCTCATCCCGTCAAGTGTCCCCCTCAGTGCCCGTCACCCATTCACCCCCACCCCCCGCCCTCCTCCCCTTCCACCACCCCTAGTTCATTTCCCAGAGTTAGGAGTCTTTATGTTCTGTCTCCCTTTCTGATATTTCCCACACATTTCTTCTCCCTTCCCTTATATTCCCTTTCACTATTATTCATATTCCCCAAATGAATGAGAACATACAATGTTTGTCCTTCTCCGATTGACTTACTTCACTCAGCATAATACCCTCCAGTTCCATCCACGTTGAAGCAAATGGTGGGTATTTGTCGTTTCTAATGGCTGAGTAATATTCCATTGTATACATAAACCACATCTTCTTTATCCATTCATCTTTCGATGGGCACCGAGGCTCCTTCCACAGTTTGGCTATTGTGGACATGGCTGCTAGAAACATCGGGGTGCAGGTGTCCCGGCGTTTCATTGCATCTGAATCTTTGGGGTAAATCCCTAACAGTGCAATTGCTGGGTCGTAGGGCAGGTCTATTTTTAATTCTTTGAGGAACCTCCACACAGTTTTCCAGAGTGGCTGCACCAGTTCACATTCCCACCAACAGTTCAGGAGGGTTCCCTTTTCTCCGCATCCTCTCCAACATTTGTGGTTTCCTGCCTTGTTAATTTTCCCCATTCTCACTGGTGTGAGGTGGTATCTCATTGTGGTTTTGATTTGTATTTCCCTGATGGCAAGTGATGCAGAGCATTTTCTCATGTGCATGTTGGCCATGTCTATGTCTTCCTCTGTGAGATTTCTCTTCATGTCTTTTTCCCATTTCATGATTGGATTGTTTGTTTCTTTGGTGTTGAGTTTAAGAAGTTCTTTATAGATTTTGGAAACTAGCCCTTTATCTGATATGTTATTTGCAAATATCTTCTCCCATTCTGTAGGTTGTCTTTGAGTTTTGTTGACTGTATCCTTTGCTGTGCAAAAGCTTCTTATCTTGATGAAGTCCCAATAGTTCATTTTTGCTTTTGTTTCTTTTGCCTTCGTGGATGTATCTTGCAAGAAGTTACTGTGGCCAAGTTCAAAAAGGGTGTTGCCTGTGTTCTCCTCTAGGATTTTGATGGAATCTTGTCTCACATTTAGATCTTTCATCCATTTTGAGTTTATCTTTGTGTATGGTGCAAGAGAGTGGTCTAGTTTCATTCTTCTGCATGTGGATGTCCAATTTTCCCAGCACCATTTATTGAAGAGACTGTGTTTCTTCCAGTGTCTACTCACATTTTGACCTTGAATGTCAGGGTTACCCTGTGAGGATGTAGAGCAGATGGAATCAATCCCACTTAACAGCTAAGGGAACTTGGACCCAAACTGGGAAGGGAGAAGACTACCAGGTCATGCACTAGCCCTAGGTAGTACAAAGATGGCTCTAGAGTGAAGCTGGTGGCCTAGGCTGGTTTTCCTTCTTGCTTGTGCCTTCCATATCTATCTATGTTGGTGAAATCTGGTTAAAGTGAACATCAGGAACAGCTCCCAAATGGAAAGACACCCAAGTAGGAGCAGCTGGATGGGGTGTCAAATTGGGGCCACTTGATGGCTTTGCTTATGTATATATGAGCTACAGTTGGCAGCACCTCTTCCTCCTCTGGCAGCAGCTCACTCCTCGTGGGCAAGGGCTCCTCCATCCTGAGTTCCCAGACCCCTAGGGGCCATCTTTCAATGTAGTAATAGGGGGCCCAGAGCGATTAGCAGTATTTCAGAAAGCTCAGGGGAGATCATACATCTCCTCATGACAGGTCTGCCCAGACTAAATGAAATGTCATTTCTCTGCTTTTGGCTGGAATTCTGTCAGCATAGTCTGGCTGTACTGCTTATCTTGGGCTGATCAGGAGCCCTGATTGGACCTTATATGCGTCCTTGACAAATAAAAATGAATTATTGCTTAATAAATGCAATTGGTTTGGCAAATGCTGCCTTTTAGAGCATGGCTCTGTGGAGCTCCAAGGAGCCTAACCAAAGGGCTTCTCGAAAGGAGACTTGCTGGCTCAGCCTGGACCAACTCTAGTTGGGCCCCCTCCAAGGAGATGGATAATGGTGGCCCTGGGACATCTGACATCTCAGCCCAAGGCTGAGAGCTAGACATTGGACAAAGTCCTCCAAATGCCAGCAGAGTACTGGACGTTCATTTCACTCAGTGTGACACCGGGTAGGTGTCAGGACTTCAGACAACCTCTTTACTAAAGCTGGGAGAGGTAACTCGTTTAAGCTCACAAAGTTCACATGAGAAGTGTAGAGGTTGCCGTGAGCCTGTATGTAGAGTGGTTACAAGGAGGCGGTGGGGTCACACCTGGCTGGAGTCCTGGCTGTACCTGTTTGTAGCCCTGTGATTTTATGTAAGTTGAACCTTGATGAATCTCAGCTCCTTATCTGTAAAATGGGGATCATATTGTACCTACTTTTGAAGCCAATATAAGGATGTCATCTATTGCTATAGTAGGGTTATTCTTGAAGATTTGTTTTGGGGCCACTTGTAACTGGGATTCAGAAGAGATTAATGAGGTTAGGATAAGCATTAAGACAGGAACTACAGCATCTCAAAAAACAAAAACAAAGACAAAAAAACAACCACAGGCAAGGATCTCATTAATGTTGAAGGTAGAATCCTATATTCACATGTATGGCCTGTTATAGGTAAGTGGATACATAGTAGAGCCAGTTGATGGTATGTAAACTAGACTTCAGTAAAGCCAATTATCAAAATAGAGCCAGCCTCTGCCATCTTAGGAGCTTATAAGAGTGGGCTACATGGTCACTAATCAGTAATGACACAAATAACGTGCTAATACCATGAAAGAAAAGTAGAGTTCTGTGAGAGTTTGTGGTAGGAGAACCTCATCTAGTTTGGGAGGTCAAAGAAGGCTTTTCCAGAGAGGTGATGCTGAGCTGGGACGGGAAAGAAGAAAGGGGTGAAAGAGAGATGGGAGGAAGGCTCTTGGCAGGGGGACAATCGTGTGCAAAGGCCCTGAGGTAGGAAAGCACAGAGCCATTGGAGGAGAGAGAGAGAGAGTGGATGTGGCTGTAGTGTCATTGTGGCATGAGAGGAGACCAGGGAGGGAGGCTGGGCCTGGTGTGCTGGGCTTTGTAGGTCAAGCAAAGGAATTAAGTCTTCATTTTAAGACTCTACTCCTATGTTTCCCCCCACTCATGGACCCCAGCTCCTCTCCTCTGGCTGGGATATATTTGTGTGTGACCATGGGGTCCAGCATGACTGAGAGGAGTGTCAAGGGCAGTGTGTGTCCTGGGGCATCAGCTTTGTGAGTTGAGCATCTCTTTGTCCTCTGGAAACCCATTGGCAGACCATCTGTGGGCCCAAGTCTGGCAGTATTCAGCAGCTGTTCCCTAGCTGGGAAGAGGCTTTTAGCTTTAATAAAAAGGGAGTAGAGATAAGAAGACCGCCTCGGCAGGGAGGGCAGCAGTGACAGGATGATTTAAATGGCCTCTCCAGTGTCATTTCTTCTGTGCAGACTTCATAAATCAGATTAGCATTGGGCTCTGGTGGGGAGGTGCAAAGGGAAAGGGGCCTGAGGGAGAGGGGAGCAGGGCTTGTGACTCTAGGTCCTCCTGGGGACTGCCTTGGAGCTGATGGGACAGCCCGAGGGGGTGCGGGGGGCACCTATTCCTCACTCATGGGCCCCTAGCCTTGCTGTTTGGAGAAGGGGAGGTTGAGATGACCCCACTCCCACCCCCAGCTTTCCCACCCATCTTCAGTTCTGGGGAGAAAATGAAGAGATTGAGAAGAGAACAGGGAAGAAGAAGGTGGGGGGCGTTGGGGTGGCAGTTACAGCCTCTGCAAATCTAGAAGCAATAGTTCTACCTTGCTGTGTATTGCAGTCACCTTGGGAACTTGACAACTGATGCTGATACCTGGGGCCCACATCTAACACTTCTGAGTTCTAGGTGATTCTATGTGCAGCTGAAGTTGAGAAGAACTGGGTTAGAACTGAGCTTCTGTCTTAAACCCCAGAACTATACACATAAGCCATCACTCCCACCATGACCACTCAGGTCCACCCGATGCCTCTGGCCTTCCTCTTCAAAGGGATCACATTCATGGGTCAGAGTCGAGATCTCTGAAACAGATGTTAATGCAGCATAACTCCCACCCATCTCCCTTCTCTTTCAGATCTCACGCCACCTGGGCAAGATGTACAGTGAGATGATCTTTGTCAATGGCTTCGTGCACTGTGACCCCCACCCTGGCAATGTGCTGGTGCGGAAGTGCCCAGGCACAGGGAAGGTGGAGATTGTCCTGCTGGACCACGGCCTCTACCAGGTGGGAGAGGCCTTTCCTACCCAGCCAGCCCAGGGTCTGGGCCTACCTGGGATCAGAGCTCGCTCAGTTCCCGAATTGCCACAGACGCAGGAGGCAGATAGCCAGGGTGGATAGAGAGGCCCTTCCCTCCTCCTAGAGTTGCCATTATGTGCAAGTCACATCATATGAGCTCTCTTTAGCCAAATGAGGTTGGTAAGTAGGTGAGGAATAGACGGAGATGTGCCTGGGTATGGCAGGTGCTTTGTCAGCTGTAAAAACTGTACCCACTGGGAAGTAAGCTACCCTTTGGTGATCTGGGACTTTAGGGAAGGAGGGTAACTCAGCCCCAGGTAGGAGGTAATGTGCAGTAGAAAGGAGGCCTGGAGCTGACAGGGACTGGATGGGCCCAGCTCTGTCCTCTGGAACTTGGGACTCATCTGCTTCAGATGAGCCATGAGCTCCTGTCTGGAAATTGGGAAGTTCACTGCCAATGCCAGGACCGAGAGCCTATCTTGAGTCCCGAGACACATGGTCCTGGAGAGGTTTCCTTAATGATCTCCTATTCCTCCCCTCAGAGCCCTGATCTCACCTCCCAAAATCTTGGCTTTCTTTGAAAGACTCAGTGACAATGGGTATATTAGTGTAAAAGGTAGGCCAGCTGCTGTCATACACAAACCCTAAGCACATGATGGCCCAGACACAACAGGTGTTTAATTGCTTTTCACATACCTGTCCCCGGTAGGTGGAGGAGTCTGAAGGCACGGGTTGACTGAGGCTCTGCCCCCTAGGCTTCCCTTGGCAGGGAGGGGGGTGTCTCATCATCCTCCAGCAGCAAGGGTAAGGGCTTGGAGGGGCATGCATGGAAAAGGTTTCAGGAGCTGAACATGTTGCTTCTGGCACGTTTCAATGGTCAGAGCTCAGGCAGAGGGCTGCATCTAACTAGGAGGCAGGTGAGGAGTGTGATTTTGGTGGGCATTGGGGACCTCCGCCACTCAAGACCAATGCTTGGCATGTAGTAGCTTTCAAGTTGGGCCTTCAGGCATGGCTTAACTTTGGGGGAGAAGCAAATGATGCACAGGAGCTCTGGTCTTCATCTGTCCCCCTTTGCAGTGTTCATACCAGCCAGGGTCTAGGCCTTCTGTGAGGAAAGGAGGCCCAGGTCCTTTCACACTGTCCCTCACTGTAGGTGCTCACAGATGAGTTCCGCCTGGATTACTGCCATCTCTGGCAGTCACTGATCTGGACTGACATGAAGAGGGTGAAGAAGTACAGCCAGCGCCTGGGAGCTGGGGATCTTTACCCCTTGTTTGCCTGCATGCTGACGGCCCGGTCTTGGGACTCTGTCAACAGGGGCATTGGCCAAGCTCCAGTCACTGCCACTGAGGTAGGTGATCCCCTCCTGGCCTTGCCTTCTTCTGAATGCAAGGGGTGGGGCCAGGGATAGCCTTTGGACCCCTTCCAACCCTGTGTCTGGGGTTCTGGGCTGGTGGGATGTGATAATAGAACAGTGGGCAGCTTTGGAGATATACTAGAAGACAGTGTCCCTGAATGCAAGGAGGGAGAACGAATGATGTGTCACTGTATCTCTCCTGGACTTATCAACCTGGTCATGTTAACCATATTATCCAGACTGCTGTGGCTTTTGCTACAACCCACTCACATGGGATTTCAGGCTTCCAAGTTCTCCTCCAAGACTTTTGGGAATTCCAACAGACTGTCTCATCATTAAGTCTGGCTCCACTTTCTCTGTCTCCTGCTGGGCACTGTCTCCTATCGCAAGGTTCCTGTATACCTCCCTACTGGAGAGAGCACCTCAGTTCCTAGTGTGGCACTCAGGGCCACTTGTGCCATTTTCCTTCTTGAGTGTGTAAACAGACTTTTGGGTCTATCTTTGTATCTCATTTCTCTATTGATCTAGACAAGAAACTCATGGAGTCAGCTGAGACTGGTTCTAGGTACCCTTCCTTCCCCCCTGTACTTGTAGCGACCTCTCTCCCAGGCTTCTCATTCCTCAGGGAATTGGCTTCTGTCTTCCCGGTCTGTCAGTTGGCCAGACCCATGTAGATTTACCCATAGCCATGTGGGGACAGGCCTGGACTTAGCCAAGGCCCCTGCTCACCACAAGGAAAAAGTCCTGCATGTGCATTCAGACAGACCTGGATTCTAATTCTAGCTCCTGCTTTTTCCTAGTGGAATGTCCTTGGGTGGTTCTCATCACCTCTTGGAGCCTCGTGCTCCTCCCCATAAGCTACCTTGTGATGAGGGCCTTTAGGAATGGGTAGATAGAGTCTTAAGTGATGTCACCAAAGAGACCACCTCTTGTCATCACTTGGCTCTACTTTTCTGCAAATTGACATCATTCCCCAGCAAGCTTTGTGGCAGTGATGACCACCAGCAGCCCCAGGCTTATATGGCTTTAAAGCTTGCTATCTCAGGAGAGAGACAATCTCCTTGCTTTGTCAAATAGGGTTGATAATTTCTGCTTTATTGATAATGCATGTAAAGTGCCTCCCCATGGCTCCTAAAGTTTGTTCACCGAACAAACATTATTTTCTTGCTCGAACCTAGACTAGGTGTTGAGGTTCCAATTATGAGCAGACAGACAAGCCTTCCATGTGATCTGCACTGTGGTTGAGAGCGACAGGTAGTAAACAAGTGAACAAACAGGTAGATGGAATAACTGCAGGTTGCAGATACTGGAGGCAACAGGCAGGGTGATGGGGGTGTGTAGATTGGGTGCTCAAATATCGTGCAGAGGAGCTGCCGTCTAAGCTGAGTTCTGGAGGACAGCCACAGGCAGAGCTTGGAGAAAGTGTTCCAGGCAAGGGGGCACACAGTGCACCAGGGCAGGGAGAGAAAGTGTTGGCATGGTCTGGAGTGTGATGAGGTGGGTGCAGGAATGAGAAGGATTTGGGGTGCTGGGCGGATGGAGCTTCACATGGGGCCTCATAAACCATGGGAAAAAGTTTGGATTAGTTCTCAGTACAAAGCAGAGCCTTTGACAGATTTCAAGCAGGGGAAGAACAGAGTTATTTTAAGTATTTCTCTGGAGGGAGCAAGCTGAGCAATGGGGCAGTCGGTCAGGAGGCTGAGAGGTGGTGGGGGTGCAGACATGCCAAAGGCAGTGGAGGTGGAGGGAAGCAGATGGAGCCAAGGTGTATTTGGCTCCTTCTGTATTTGAGAGGCCTTTTTTGTCGACTTGGGTGTGGAGAGGAGGCAGAGGGAGGAGTCAAAGTTGAATCACAGCTTTTAGGTGTGAGTTATAGGATAGAGGGTGGAGCTACTTCCTGACATAGGGAAGACTTTGGGAAGGACATAGTTGGGCTGGAGACAGTAGTTAGAGCATTCACATAGGAGCATCATGGGTGGCAGTCCAGCTTGGAGCTCAAAGATATAAATTTGAGAGTTCTCAGTGTGTACATGGTATTTAAAGATTCAGTGATGGACAAGGTTGCAGGGCACACAGTAGGTACTTAGTATATGATGTGTGTTTTTATTAACTAAGTTAGAACTTTATTTTGCATTGTTACTCACTTATAAAGGCCCAGCATTAATGCTACCATATTGGTCGGCCTGGGTTGCCGTCATGGAATACCACCGACTAGGTAGCTTGTACAACACAAGTCTGTTTTCTCACTGTTTTGGAGGCTGGAAGTGCAGGTTGATTTTTGGTGCAGCCTCTCTTCCTGACTTGCAGACAGTTGCCTTCTTGCTGTGTCCTCACGTGGCCTTTCTTCTATGTGGACACACTCCCAGTGTCGTCTTCTCCTAAGGACATCAGTCCTGCAGGGTTAGGGCCCCACCCTTTTGAAGTCATTTAACTTTGCCTCTTTAAAGGCCTGGTCTTCACATGCAATCGTATTGAGGTTAGAACTTCAACATAGCGATTTGAGAGGCACAATTCAGTCCATAGCTCCAGCCAGGAAGCCTCTCCTCATCCCCTTTGCCAAAGGTGGCCCCTAATACTTGTATCACTCATCTGCATGCACTCTTGAAGTGTAGCTGTTTGTATACTTGTATGAATTCTCCAACTAGTTGGTGAGTACCTGGAAGGCAAGGATCCCGTCTTGTACATCTTTTTTATAAGGTCCCAGCGGTCCTGGACCATCATCTAATAGAGAGGTGTTCATGTAGGTTCTGGAGACCTGGACTCTATTTGCTCACTTTGGACAAAAACTCGGTGAAAGAATAAACTTAGCCACTCCAGCCCCAGCTCAGTCTCTGAGATGTAGGGGCTCAGTTTTCCTGAGTCTTAGTCTTATTGAGAATGAGGGGAACCTCCCACATTGTATCAGGGAAGTTGTTTTCCCAGCTATAAGTGGCTTAAACAATTCAGCGTGTGTTCTCTCCATAACAAGAAGCCTGGAGGTGAGTGGGTCCAGGTTGTTAATTGAGCAGATCAGCAACGCAGGGCTCTGGGCTGACTTTCAAGTTCTAAGATGACTGTGGCCGTTCCAAGCTTTACAACTTTATTACCTGATGTCCAGAAGTGGGAATTAGGGGCCATTTCTTCTCATATGTTGTTTAAGATCAAGAAAACTTTTCCCAGAAGTCCCTCGACAGACTCCCCCTTGGTCTCCTTGGCCAGAATTGTGTCTCATCCCTGCCTAAGCCAATGGCTGGGCAGAGGCCTTGTGCTCAGAGCCGACAATAGCGGACATCAATCAAGATCCCCCCCACCCCCAGGGCTAGGGAGGAGCTCTACCTACCTGAAGAGCACAGCCCTCAGGGGTCAAGTGAACAAAAATGGGCTTCTTTTGACAAAGGAGAAGGGGTAATAGCTGTAGGGTAGGCACCCAACAGGGTCTGCTGGAGACAGCCACTATGAGGATAGCCCAAGCTTAAAGAGACCCCCAAGAAGGAGTCTGGGTGGGTGCAGATACTTTCTTTTGCTCTGGGAGGGGCCGAGAGGGACTGTCTCCAGGCCAATCCCAACTTTGCCTAGGGGGTCCCTGTGGGGAGGGAGGCCTTGATCTGGCCTTCACCCTCAGGCAGGGTGACCCACAGCTGTGGTGGGAGGCAGTGGGGGGACAGCCAGCCTCAGTGTCTGACTTCATGTTGAGATGGTCCCGTCTGATAGCTCCTGCCTAAGGGACATTTCAAGTTTCACAGCAACTCAGTTACCAGCAGCACACATGTGTTCCAGAAAGGGCTGAGCATCCTGCTTGTGCTGCAGAAGGTGGCCACATGGGGAAGCCTTTGGTAGCACTGCTGGGCCCCTTGTTGTGACTTCAATTAGCATTCCTTATCTCCCCATTCCTTATCTCTGCTGACCCTTGTGGTCCTGCTGGGAGGTGGGCATGGAGGGCACGAGCATTTCTAGTTTTTAGATGAGGACACTGGGTTAGAAGAGATGAAAGGACTTACCCAGGGTCACAGTCCTACTGGGAGATGAGAGGCAGGAGAGCCTGATGGTGAGGGTGTGGGCTCGGGAGCTGGACTGCAGGGGTTCAAATTCCAACTCACACTTACTTGCTGTGGCCTGTGGACAGGTTGCCCAAACTCTCAGTGCCTTGGTTTCCTCCTCTCAAATGGGGCTGATGCACTTGCCTGATAGGATTGTCGTGGGGATTAAATGAGTTAATACCTGTAAGCATTTTCCCTGGATACTGAGAAGAGGTCAGAGGTATACTGTCATGCTCAGGGCTCTGACTGGAGGCAGCTGTTTTCCCAGAGCCATGTGGAGTTCAGACCTCACACTCAGACACCAGCATGAGGGAAGGGCTAGCCCTGGCTCCTGCTCCTTGGGTACTGGGACTTTAAGCACTGGGCTGGCTGAGACTGGCTTCAGCATGGAGGGCAGTGATGGGCAGTGGCAATGTAGGCAGTAGGGGCTCTGGGTAGGTCTGGTGTGCATAGAGTTAGGCAGGGTATAGAGCAGAACTTTGGAGTTGAGTTGGGGTCAGGAGCTCAGATCTATGAACTGAACCAGCCTGGGCTTAGCTGAAGAGATGGGGGACATGATTCAGTGGGTACCACTTCCAGGACTCCTTCTAAGCCTGGCCTGAAATTGGTGGCCATTGGAAAACGTCTTGGAGAGTAACACACAGGTGAACCCCTGGGCTGAGAGGCTGGCTAAGTCCAGCCTCATCCAACAATTGGTGATATAAGCAGATTTCCTGCCCCAGGGCTTGGAGGATGGGTATTGGTGACCTGTGGGGAGCCAGGGATGGCAGAGGCCCCTGTTGATGTACTACTGTACCATGTCCAATGCTTGACCAGAAGTTGGAGTGAGATGTCTCACCCAGGTTTGTCGGACTACAGATCCCCTTATGCTGAGTTTCCCTGTGAGGGGAGGTTCCTCATGGTGCTGAGGCAGCCATACTAGAAGCTCCCTCAGCCACAGGCTACCGTGACACCCACCACTCTGGGCCCCACTTCCTCCACCAACTCTCCATGTCTGTCTCCCTGTTGTTGCTTCAGGACGCAGAGATCCGTAACAATGCAGCCAATTACCTCCCCGAGATCAGCCAGCTCCTCAACCATGTGCCTCGCCAGATGCTGCTCATCTTCAAGACCAACGACCTGCTCCGTGGCATTGAGGCTGCTCTGGGCACCCGTGCCAGTGCCAGCTCCTTCCTCAACATGTCACGATGTTGCGTCAGAGCGCTGGCCATGTGAGTGCGGGCTGCAGCCTCTCCTCCCCTCCCAGCTCTCTGGCCTACCCCAAGGATGCTCTTCATCTCCACTTTCTCCCATGGGTCCCCAGGGCCCTGCTTGAACTCCTTAGTCTCCAACTCTCCCTGGAGGAAGAGTTAGGGGCAGGAAACAGCTCCAGTGAATTCCCTGATTCCAGGTGATGTGTTTGCGTGGTCCAGGGAGCCACCTGTGCTTTGTAAAATTGGTGGATTCTAGGACCTCACCCTCTGAGTTAAGATTTCCAGGTGATTCTTACTGTCATTAAGTTTGAAATGTTTCCTGAGTGTCTCAATTCCATCCACGTGTCCCCTGGGCTTGGAATCAGGACACCCTGATGCCCGTCCCGTCTCTAACTGGTCCCAGAACCTGTCTTCCCAGCATTGGCTACACAGCAAGGCCAGTGTTCCTTTCCCTGCAGGTGTGGCTGTGACTCTAGAAAGTGTTGCCAGCAGGTTTACTTGGGATCTCAGATCTTTTAGATGCCTCAGTACCCTTGGAGTCCCTTGGAGTCCCTTGAAGTGTTGGTGAGGGAGGGAGAGCTTCCTCAGGGAGATATTGCTAGAGAAGTGAGAATTCTAGATCCTTCTATCTGAGTGTACAGGTACATGGGAAAGGCCTTGCTCTAGCTGAATTTTCCCCTCTGAGAGAGGAGCCCTAGACTAATGTCAACTCCCATCCGTCCTTTGCAGAGAATGGGTCATTCTGGCAAACTGGTCAGGGGAGCATTGGCCACATATATTATGCACCCATGTTCAAATATTGAATTAGATTATAACAAAATAGACTGCACACAGAAAGGGCTGAACATGATTTATTCTTCCTTTGAGGGTTCTGGTAATGAAGTCTTGAATGGGTCATTATCATAAACACCAATTTTCATCCTGTCCTTTTGTAGTGTGAAGGGACTGAACTAGGTTGCATCCATGCTGGGCTCGGCCTCTCGGGACCACCTGACCTAGTTTCCAGGTGATTTAGCCTCAGAAAGTTTGGGAAAGCTTTTATATTTGAGTTTGGGAGATTCAGGATTGGCATATATTTACTCAACTTACGGAAGAAGGGAAACATTGGAATGTTCTACTAGGGTCCACTAGGCCTTTGATGCTCTATGAAACAGCTGCTTTTGTTTACCCCACTTATCTGGAAAGCTCCAGTGGAGTAATTGAGTTCCTCTGGTCCTTGGATGGGCAGTGCTATGATCACATAACTAGAAGTCACCCACCAGGGCGGGGGTCTGGGAGTAGGCTAAGCCATGATCTTCCGTTGTTCTAAGTGATAACAAATGCTTCTTGCTTGCTTATCTCCTGTTTTCTCCTTCCTTCTTGTCCCTTCTGCAGGCACAAGAAGAAGAATGCCAGCTCGTTCTTCAGAAGGACCCAGATCTCTTTCAGAGAGGCTTTCAATTTATGGCAGATCAACCTTCACGAACTCATTCTGCGTGTGAAGGGATTGAGGTTGGCCAGCTGGGTCTTGGCCCTGCTTTGCTGGCTGTTGCCCACTCCATGCTGAGTGGACCTGCTGTCCCCTTTCCCTTTCAATGTGATGCTGTAGTGGGCAAGTGGACTTTTCACTCCTTGTGCTTTTGTCATGTCTCCACCCAGGTGCCCTGTTGCTGTCACATGTTGACCTGGAGCCCCACAGTCATTGTCCATGGCACCATTATACTCCACCTCCGGAATCCCAGTCCTACACTGCAGCCCTTGTCTCTGGGCCCACAAGCTGTACCATGCAAGAGGTTTCTCTCCTTATCCAGGAAGATGACACAAGTCTCTTTCCTGCTTCTGGCAGGCACCATTGGGCTGGATGTCCCCCTACTTCCGGTAACCATTCCTGTCATTGGGGTGGACCATGAATCCCACTGACTTCCTACAGGAATTCCTACACTTAGCTTATGGGAAGTTTGATTTTGTGGAAAGAGAGCATAGTTTCTGAGAGTGCTAGGAACAGACTCCCTCTCCTTGCCCTGTCACTCCCCAGAAGGTGTTGCACCTGAGCAAGATGGCTTGGCCTCTGAGGCATGAGTTCACTGCTGTCATGGTGACCCCTTTGGTGTTTTATATACTGTGAGTCAATAAAAACCCCTTTAAGGTTGCAGGGAAGGGCTTTGTTGGCGGGATTTTTATTCTAGGTTGGGAGTGAATCCACGTTGGCCATTAGGTAAGAATAGACCTGGATGCCGTGTGCCACTGTGTTCTAGTTGGCATCATGCCCTTGTCACCCTTTCAGCTTTTCCCCGTGTGACCACTTTCTGCCCTTTGTAGGTCCTTCTTACCTTCCAAGACTCTCAGGCTGGTTGGAGAAGTTGAGAAGCCCAAGGCCAGGAACTTGTAAGCTCAGCAAAAACCCCTGACTTTGGTTTCCCTGGGTTCTCATCACCTTCCCTGTGAGCTGGCACCTGCTTTGTTCCACTAATTGCCTCCTGACTTAGCCCTTTGGCTTGTCATTTGATGCCACCAGTCCCAGAGTCCATAGTGTAAACCTCGGCCACTGTGGCTTGGTTTCACTCTGAAACCTCACTGGCACCTGTCTGGACTCCATGCTTCCACCTGTTGCCCACAAGTGGCCAGAGCTGCCACGCCCCCACTCAGTCATCTGCTTCTGTTTCTGGGACCTCCCCAAAGTCCTGTAACTCCAGGTCCCCAAGAGACCCCTCCCATTTGGCAGGTCCTACTATTACTGAGTACCCATGCTCACAGACAGTCATTGTATTTGAGTCTCTGTGATCTCTTACTTCACTCCATTCACAGGGGCAGGAAACTGCTAAATATGAGTCTCCTCTTCTCTTTATTCATAATTCAATGAGCGGATTTTCCACTGACCAGAGATGATTTGCAGTCCCTTTATTTCCTGAAAGAATTAATTGTTCTTAGTGACCAGTTGGATGCACCCAGGGACCTGAGAGAATAATTTGCAAGATCTGTTATTAATCATGAGGATGCATGCAGCATATTATATTTTATGGTGTCTTTTATAGCCACTGAAGTAAATATAAATGTCCTTTTTGTTCAAGGTAATGGTTACTTGCTTTTCACTTTTAGTTTAATGGTTGACTTCCTGCTACCCTGGAATCTAAAACATCAGCACGTTGCCAGTGAGCGCAGCACCCAGAATAGTTAACCAGGGAGAGGAGAGAATCTGGGAGAGTTTAGGGTATAGGAAAATTTGAAAGGAGGAGGGAAGCTAGTTGGTTTTGGGTGCCTTCCTCGGAGAGAGACCAGGCTAGGTTCTTTGCAAATAACTTAAATCTGATTTGTCCCATCAGCTCTGTGAGGGGGAAGGGTCATGAGTCTCATAGAGATGGGAATCAAGGCTCAGAGAGGGTTAGTGGTTTCCCTGAAGTCACACAGGTGCTAAGTGGGATTCCACACTTTGTTTTTTATTCCCCAGTGCTGGAGATCTAGATCACACTCGCTCTGTGGCCTGTCATATGTGCCTGAATTGAGTCTCAAAAACCCTGCTTTGAGAAGGAATTGGGTTTCCAGTGGAGGTAGGGGAGTCCAGCATATTCTCTGGGGCCTAGGGCAGTGTGGGAGCTGGACCACTGTGGCCTGCATGCAGTTCTGACACTGACCGTCTGGAGTTAGTGCAGAGTTCACAGGCTTCAGGGCTTAGTTCCAGAAGACTGGCCACACTTCAGACACAAAGCTGCGGGCTTGGAGGTTCACCAGCCCAACTGGCTTCAAATTTGGGTGTTCCCCTCCCCCCAGATTCAATAATTGACTAGAATGACTCAGAACTCAGGAAAGTGATATACTTGTGATTATAATTTTATTTTAAGGGATACAGATCAGGACCAGTCAAATGAAGAGACACGGAAGGCAAGGTCTAGTAGGATCCTGAATGCAAAGTTTCCACCTCCTCTCCTGTGGGATCAGGACACATCACCCTCGGGGCATATCAGTGTGCTCACTAAGCTTCAGTGTTCAGGGTTTTTATCGGTATTTCCTTGCATAGACACAATCGATTGAATCATTAACATGATTGAACTCAGTCTCCGGCCCGCCCTTCTCTCCTCTTCTTGGAGAAAGTGGGCTGGTATCACCCCCATCCCAGGTCCTCTAGTAAAAACTCAAGTGTGATCCAAGGAGCACACCCTGAAAAGCAAGGATATTCCTGTTGCTGAGAAATTCCAGGGAGTTAAGTTACCTCCCAGGGGCTTGAGACAAAGATCAGACAGGCTTTTATTATATAATAACCACTCTGATGTGTTCTTATCCTATGCCCTTGGCCCGAGGTATGTCTTTACTGACTGACCACTGGCCTGTGGCTTCTGGTTGGCTTGGGTGGAGCCGTATCTGGAGCTTAGAGCCATAGGAGGCAATTCTTTCCCTGTCTCTCTCCAATGGCTTAGCGATAGCATGGCTGAACTTCTATGCGTGGCCTTGCTCTGATTCCTTCTCTGGCCTGTGGAACTTGCCATTAGTTGATTTGAGTTTGATGCTTCCCAATAAAATCCTGTGACTTTTTTTCTCCCATCAGTGACAATGGGTCATGTCAGAAAGTCCCCAGCAGCTTACTTTGTTTTACCTTTTAACACTTAAATACTCAGTTGAGACGTTGGCTTCTTTGACTAAGGCAACATGGATATTTTCCCCTTTTTTCAGGTAGAGTAGAAATTCCAACTCTATGGCCATGTGGTCTAGAGCCTATTAGGTACATGCTTAGTTCATAGGTGGTTGAGAATCCTGGCTTGTAGTAAGTGCTAAATAAATATGCAGGGATTTAGAATCTCAGAATACTTTTCTTCAGGGCTGTTGAAATCTGTGTATTAAAAATAAACTACATGTACCATTCATCCTCTGTTAGGAAGATTGCCTTGTCTGATTGCCAGGTTAATTTCAGCAGGGCTCTGAGCCCACTCCCAGGCCCCCAAAAATGTAAGCAGCCAATGAATGATGTCTCAGAAAACCAAAGTGGCTCCCAGAGGCCCCTAAACAAATCCCTTTAGGGGCAAGACTCATTGGGAGATTGAGAATTACCCTCTGTGTGAGCAGCTGTGAGAAGAGTTCAATGGAGCCCTGCAAGTGACACTTGGGGCTTACGTGGTTTCCAGGTATAGTCATGAGGGATTAGGGTTTAAAAGTTGGGAACTGGTGATGGGGCAAGATCTTAATGGGCAGGACGAGCAAAGCCACAGAGAGTGGCTGTTCTTTGCAGCCTGACCTTTTGGAGTGGTGGTGTTTGTTGGGCTGACTCAGGAAGGACTTGTATTTGACCAAAAGTCGTTGGATGCCAGGCACCCCAATGCCACTTCTTGCAGGTAACTGGCTAGAGGAAAACTGCAGGAGGCCCAGACTGCAAAGCCTTAAATCTGCAAACATTTTAGTAAAAGCCCATTTGTTTAAAAAAGCTGCTCTCACCTCCTCTCTTCCCTCCCTCCTTCCTTCCTGTAAAGCCCATTATGAAGTTGCACAGACTAGCTTGGCACTCTCTTTTCTAAAGGAAAGGTGAGGTCAGCCCTCAGCAGAGTAGATATTAAACCTTGGGCTAGCTGTGATGTCCATTTCCCTGTGGTGAGTGCCTCCTGGCCTGCATTCTCTGGAGGCTGCCTCAGCCTCTGACATCAGCCAGCTCACCTCCGAGCCAGGTCACCGTGCCCCTGGCTGGCACTGCTGGGGGCAGAAGACACTCTACTCAGTTCTGCTTTTGGCTTAATAGTTGCATAATTCCCCTGATATTTCTTCCTATTTTTCTTTTTCCCATTTTTGAGGAGGACCAGACCAGGCTCTTAAGACTGGTAAAGTGATGGATAGTAAGCCCTTGACCTCTGCCTTTTCAGGTCCCATGTCCTCATCTCCACTCCCTGCACTTTTGTTCTAGAACAGTGTGTATCAAAATTTTATGTAACAGTGGATAACCTGGTGTCTTGTTAGAATACAAGATTCTGATTGAGTCTGGGTGGGGCCTGAGATTCGGCTTTTCAGTTGAGCTCCCAGGGGATCTGTTGCTGCTGGTCCATGGTCCACACTTTGAGTTGCAAGGACCTAGATAGGTGGCTCTGAAGATAGGTTCAGGACCACCACCACCAGCAGCATAACCCAGGAGCTTGTTAGAAATACAAGTTCTCAGACCCCACTCCAGATCTGCTGAATCAGAAACTCCGGGGTGGGGCCCCGCGATCTGTTTTAATAAGCGCTGCCAGGAATTTTGCTGTATATACAGTTGAATCTCCGTTCACAACCCTCCCTGCACATTGGAATCACCAGGAGAGCTTTGAAAACCCAAGATTCTGATTGAAGTGCTTTGAATGAGGGCCAGACATTTTTAATTGTATTGTTTTTAACTTACTATTTTCAAATAACTTCAGATTTACAGGAGAGTTGCAAAGATAGTACATGGGGGGTCCCCACATACCCTTCATCTCCCTTTCCCTAATGTTGACATCTTACATAACCATGGTACCTTTATTAATACTAAGGAAATAACATTAGTACAGGACTATTAACTACTCATATTTCACCCATTTCCCTACTGATATCCTCTGAGTGCTCCAGGATCCAGTCTAGGATGGCATGTAGCTTTCAGTTGTTATGCTTCTTTAGTGTCCTCTGTGACAATTCCTCAGACATCCCTGCTTTTTGATGACTTTGATGCTTTGGAAGAGTATTGGTTGGGTATTTTGTAGAATGTCTCTTGATTTTGGCTTGTTTGAGGTTTTCATGTGATTAGACTGGGGTTATGGGTTTAGGGAAGAATACCGCAGAGGTGAAGTGTCCTTCTCATGATATTGTGTCCAGGGGGACATGATATGACATGACTTAAGTGCCTTTGTTGTTAAAGCTCCCATCCAGGGTTGAGACCCTGCTTTAGGCTCATACACCTTCCATGTGTCTTCTAGAGAGGGAAGATATGCAGCCTATAAACTCCTCCACAGGTGGGCATTAGGCACAGTCTCTTTGAAATTAAGAGAGACCTGGCTATTTCCAAATTAGAAGGCTCCCAAGCAACTAGAAAAAATGCAGATATACCAATACAAGGTCATAAAAACGGCAGTGTAGTCTAGTTTTAACGTTTATATTTAGCACAAACTAATTCTTTAAGCATACACACAAATGGAATGACAAATGGATGTAATATCGAAGCCTGAACATTGAGCCCCATCTTGCAAAAGATAGGCCTGGTGCTAGGTATTTTGTTTTTCAGATATATTGCACTTCTATTTTCAGGAGTCACCAGTGGGGCGTTGGCAGGGAGCCCTCTGGTCAATCACCCTTGAGCAGTGGGCTGGGCACCCTCTGTACCAGCCTGACCTGGCAGCTGTCTTCAGTACCCAGAGAGGGCAAGTCAGTCTCACCTATTATTATTTTTTGAATAATTTTTATTATTAGCCCCCAGTGGCTATCTTGTCTACTTCATTCTTCGAACCCCTAGATCAAGCTATTCCTGTTGGCTAGATCCATCCTTGATTTTTCAATTTCTTGAGGCAACAAATCTGCCTTGCCTTTTTTTTTTTTTTTTTTTTTTTGGTATAAGTTACTTCACATTGAATATTTTATGTTTAACCAAAGGGTCCATACCCATTGCAGCAATTATCTTTAAGGGCCCTGGGCTCATGTTTGGGTTATGGAGAGCCTAGAGGAAGTCTAGAGGGGAGTAATAGACACATTCACAGAGATAGAAAATAAGGTAACGATTATAGACTGGACACTTTTCACACCACTGAACAAGAACAAACAGGACTAAGTTGTAGTAAATTTTTATTGCTGTTGTTGAGACAATGAGATTGAGGGCTACTAAAAGGTTCCTTTAAATGCCATTTCTGGTCAAATCACCACAGAGGGCCATGCCATTCTGGCTGGTTGCCAAGTGTATGGATGTGCTTTTTAGAATAGTCATGCCTGTTTACTAATGACCCATGGGGTTCTTAGAGGCTGGCTCTTTGGCTGAAATAGGCTTAATTTCTCATTGATTCTGTGAGTAGCTGGCCACAGGTCACCCCCAGAGAGCTAGCAGGAGCTCTTTCTTTAATCACAGTGTTAGTTTGATAGAGATGTCCCTGGGCACATTTAAGATAGAGACATGTGTTCCCCATAGGCCTAAGAGCTGGGCCAGCCAGTTCCCAGAACATGAGTTAAACCTGGGGTGACTTTAGGAGCTGGACTGTGTAGGTGGAGGTTTCTGCCTCCCCTTGCGTCACGTGTCTGGCTGAGTGAGATGAGGGCTCATGGGTGGCTTGTCGCCTGTCTCTCCGTCTGGACAATGGGCTTCCTAGCCGTAGCCTGGCTCTTGTTGTCCACTCTGCCTTAAGTGCACACTCCCTGCTTTCTGCTCCTGATGGCACTCAAGCTCTGCTTTGCAAGGGAAGCCTCCCGAGACCACTGTGCCTTTGTGGCCTCCTGAGAACTAATAACTCAGTTCTCCTGACACTTCTCTCCACGCCCACTGTCTGTATGCGTTTGTCTACATGCCCTCTACAGGTCTTGGAGGGCAAGGAGTACTTCTTTGTCTCTTGCAAGACAGTGGAGGCCATAGTAGGCCCCTCACTGGTCATTGTGGAGCTACTTACACGTGCCTCAGTTCATGTGTGCAGCCCGTATTCCTTCAACACCTATTTATGGGGGAGGGGAGGAGAGAGACAAAATGAATCAGACATGTTGCCTGCCTGTAGTCTTTCTGGCGTTGGGTAAGGAGGGAGGCTCTTGCTGTTGGAGGCAGTGGTGAATGGGAATCTGTGGCCTGGGAGGCCAGCAAGGGATTTAAATGACTCATGGGGACGATGATGGCGGTCAGCATCTCCACCTGGAAGCAAGATTTAATGAGACTTTGTTTCTCTTTGGGGTGCCATTATCTCTCTGGATTTCACTTTGACCAAAAGGCCCACATTCACTATCTCAGTGGATGGTGCCAACTGTAGTCACCAAGGTCTGAGAGCCACGAGTTAGCATATATACCTTCTTGAACTTCATAGCAGCCTCCCATAGACTCCACCTCCTCATATGTCTTGTATCACCAAATCTCCTCTACCTATCTTCCACCACCGTCCTGGTCTAGATCTGGTCCCCTCCCTGTCCTCTTTGTCTCCCATCTTGTCCCACCAAACTGGCTCTTGTTCAATTCACCTAAGGCCAATTTGTCTATGGTCACATTGCCAAAAATTCGTTTGCCTAAGGATCAGTTCTCCCAGAGACAAGTTTCTCTTGAATTAAGTATTGAGTGTTTTCAGATCCATTTGAACTTCCTATTATTTCTTGCCGCTTTTTTTTCATTTTTAAGATTTTTAAAACCAGTTCATTCAAAAGCGTTTGACTCAATTTTGTATTTCTAATAAGTGTTTTACAGGCAGCCTTTTTGAATGATTATTTTGTTTTCTTCTACATGTCTTTTTTTTATGTTCTCTACTTTCACTAAACATAACCAATATTTAGCCATTTTGTCTAAAGACACTTGTACTTAAAATATAGGTGTCCTACCAAGAAATATTCAAGGCACTAATTACAATCAGTTATTATGCACTGTGTCATCTTGATCCCTTAACTAAAGTTATATCAATTTCAGATGGAAAATGGTGGCATTCATGCTGAATTTTGTGTACTGCATCTTACTTTATGAATTAGGGACCTTGAGAAAGGCTGATTCTTACATGCAATACAACAGATTTGCCAATGACTGCTATGTAACATATACTCATGTGTATTGTGTGAGGGAGCAAGACTCCTAGCATGACCACTTATGCTATTTATCTCATGACTGAACTGTGTCAACTCTCAGGAAGAAGATGTTTGCCTGAAATTTTGAACAAAGAATTGGTGGAATGACTGTCATTGATAAAATGAATGAGCTTCTGACCTAGAAAAGTAAACTGGATTTTGTCTGCAGTTCTAAAACAGATGGAGCAAATCCATGGTGTGGTGCTGCCAGCGCCTACCAGGGCCAATGCAAA